AATTTAAGTGAGTCAATATTGCTTCCATGTTTCATTCAGAGAAACTTTTATTTGCATGTTTCATGTGCTAGAGTTTAATTCATTGGAAAACAGATATCATCATCAAATTGGCATCATGTAGAAGACATTAAATAATGCTCCATTGAGAAATTAAATGCTTATCTGTTCAATTGAATAGTAACTTGACGAATAACTCCTCTGAATCTTGTGGTTAAGCTCTTTATCAAGAATATATTTAAATTCCAATGTGCAACGGTTCCTTGTGTTGTTTAACTTCTTATGACTAACTGATTTAAATTTTACTTTTCTTAAATTGAATCCTTTAATGAGACTTGAGATTTCGATGTATACTACTTATTTTTTATATAATTCTACTTTTTAAAAGAAATAGTTTGTATCTCCAAACAATTGATTGGATATTAAAATTTGTTAAATTCATTTATTGAAATATTATTGATTTTTCATATACACTTTCCTCTTTCATATTCAGTTGATTTATTATACTATTTTTTGAATAGTTTTGCTGCTGTTATTATTATTGTTACTGATGATGGAGTGAGTGTTGAATATTGGAGTGATTCACTGAAGTTATTAAACTGTGATTGAATTTCCTAATCTCAAAATATTTTAAGGTTTTCAGTGAGCATTTAGACTAACAACTTAAGATTATAAATAAAGATTTACTTTTTAGTGATGAGCAAAACTTTCAAAGAAGCAAAGTATTTACACCTACTATTTTTTTAATATAAAGACATTTGAGGGGTTCTTTAAGTTTTCCAACTCTAGACTCTTAGTAAATTGTAGTCACTTATGAGGAATAATGATAGTATGACATCAGCCAGAAAGGTTCAATAAGGAATCGATTATGCATGTTTATTACAGTTGGAAATCGGTTATAAAATGAAACTGTTGTCATTTTTCAGTAGTTAAGTTGAATGCATTAGAAAGAAGTAGAATAATCTCTTGAAGGTGAACTGGTTCCCTCTTTATTTACTTTTCTAATTATACATTATTATCAATGTTCTTTTTAAAAAAATAAAAATATCCCAGTGTATATCAAAATATACAGAATAGATTCATATTCTTATTTTCGCGTCTAACCGATCCAGGCAAGATAAGTCTTGCAATGTAATGGCGTATAATACAGAAGATTTGTAGCTCAGGTGAATGATTTGTAATTAATAGTGTTTACTGAGCTGGTTGGTTTAGTTGCGGAACTTTCGTCATCCATCTTGACAACATCTTCAGGGCAATTTTTAGGATAAAGTGAACTGATTTAAATTTCTTCATGAGTGATAGAATCGCGTCTCCCGGTAACCATCTTTACATATGTATTGATCATTTTCTATTGACTTGGATTTTAAACTTTCTGGTCACATGATTTACTTTTTATTAGTTCGTATATTTGATCGATATTAACGTGTTTGTTAATTGCATATTCGTCTGAGTACCAGGCTTCTAGGAATTCTCTGGCACTTTTGGTGTTTCCCCTGTCTAAAATTTCGACATTATCCCAATCAAACTGATGTCCATAATTATCTATATACATTGATATAAAAGAATATATATCATGTCTTCTCACAGCTGATTTGTGTTCCTGGATTCTTATGTGAAGGGGACGCCCACTTTGGTCAATGTAATGTCTGTTACAGTTCATACAATTTATTTTGTAAATGATATTAGTTTTATCTCCTCTTTCTGTTGGATGTGTCTTTCGGTTTGCACAATATCGAACTAAGTAATTGGACTGGCTTGTGTGCTATATCTATTTCAAGCGGTTTTAATATTCTAGCTGTTATTTCAGAGATGTTTTTTGTATATGGTAGGATGAATTTTCTTGTATTCTTAGATGATGGTTCCTTGTTGGGGTTGTGATTCGAGTTTAAACACTTTTTGATGAAATTTTGTGGATAACCATTCCGAAAACAGAAAGATTGAGCGAAGAAATATTTACTTTTCAATTCTTTCTTTTCATTCTTTTTGAAGATCGTTAGTAGGTATTTTTCTTCCATTCTTTTCAACTCTGGAGTGCTACAGTGTGTGTTTGAATTCTTTTAAACAATGTCTGCACACAGTTTCTTTTGTGAGTAATTGGATTATTGCTAGTGTAGCTGAGTATTTGGCCTGTGTGCGTTGATTCTCTATATACTTGTGTTTCTAAATTTCCTGTGTTGGTTCTCCTGATTAGGACGTAGAAATGGGATTTTGTTATCTAACTCTTCTTCTCTTGTGAATTTGACGTCTTCAAATATGTTGTTTATTAATTTATGGGTATGTTCTAAATCATTTCTCTTAATGATTACAAATGTATCACCAACGTAACGTACCCAGATTTTCGGTTTAATTATAGGTAGAGCTATTAATTCTAATCTTTGCATGACGGCTTCAGCTATTAATCCTGATATGGGCGATCCCATTGGTGTCCCTTTTATCTGTTCATATATTTGAGTATTGAATTGGAAGTATGTTGTAAGGAATAATTGTATGAGTTCTATCCAAGTTGAACATTGCGTTTTATGTTTTCATCACTATAGAGTAAATGTTGCATAGTTTCTGCTGCTAGTTTTGGATTAATTAAAGTATATAATGCTGTGACATCAAAGAATACCATTATTTCATTGTCATCTTATTATTATTTATTATTATATCCTTTAATTCCTAGAGGAACGTAGGGCTTCAGCTGCGCACCTCCATTGCCTTCGGTTTTCTGCCAACTTTTTCACCCCACTCCAACTCTGGCTACATGCCTTCATCTCCTCCTCACATGTCTCCCTCCAAGTCACCCTTGCACTGACGACCAACTCGCCGCCCCCCTTTCGGGTTCCACTCGAGCGATGGCTTGTCTAGTGATGTCACTTGATGGTCTCCTCAGCATATGGCCAATCCATCTCCATTTCTTCCTGCCTATTTGTTTCACAATCGGTTCCTGTTGAGTTGGTTCGCTCATTGCCAGAGATCAATCCCTGTTGCTGATCTTTTCTGGCCGGCCATCTGATCTTGAGTGGTATTGAGCGAAGACAACTGTTAATGAAGGTCTGAAGTTTGTTTGAGATGCTCTTTATGACGCGCTGGCCAAGTCTCTGATCCGTATAGCAAGTAGCACTGACTGACTTCGCAGTGGAGTTGAAGATCCGGATCTTATACTCGTTTTGATTCTGAGTGCTGTTGACCTTCACACAGACTTGAGAGTAATGAAAGCTTGTCTTGCTTTTCCGATTCTGGCTTTGATATCCTCGTCAGTTCCTCTTTTGGCGCATAGAGATTCATCGTGCTGAAGTTTCTGTAGCAACTTTGTTTACAGGGTGGGGTTGCTTGCATTAAATTCGGAAAACAAGGAATAAAACAATCAGAACAACACCAGCAAAAGGAAAATAATTCACAGCAAAAAGGGCAACAAGCGACAACAACAATACAATACAACAATATACCATACAGTTAAGCACAGTTAACTAAAATGATACCAAAACCATAGACTCACTGACTTGGGCCAACTTGAACATATAAATCCAACAATATATACAATTACAGATATGAGTTAGTGTTAAAAAGTCACAAAATGCCAAACAGTTAGTTATAGGTATTAGTAGTCAACAAGATTATATCCACAGGTTTAGTGTTCGAAGGTAAACGGACTGCAATAATTTCCAAAACTTCGTGGTCGGAAACACCAGAGAAATGAAAGTTTTATGTAACTAAGCAACTGTAGCGCACTAATCGAAAAGCGCGATCCTCATTGTCATGTACTTGAATCTTTTTGATTTTCTCTAAAAATTGTATTGACGAATTGATAGAATGGTCGCATGATTCTGTGAAGCATTTTAATTTCCTGAAAAGTTCTTTAGATAGATTATATGATGGTGTTCCTGGAAGCGAAACGATTAGTCGTAAGGAGATGTTTGGTTTGTGTAGTGTTGGTCTACCATAGAATCGAGGTAAAATAGGTCCGTTAGATTTCGTTCGCGTATAATGGCTTATAAGAAATTATGAAACTTATCAAATTGTATTGTTTACATTTTACTGACAATATATAATGAACGAACAAGTGGAAAAACAATTAAATTTTTTTTGTCTTTTTTATTTTCATTCACTTAATAATTGTATATTTAATTTGTTTATTCTTAATAGTTTAAAGTATACCAGATTATATTTGACAATTTTTCAAATGTTTAAAATACACTTTTCGGAGAGGTCTAAATAAAAGGTTACTGTAATGATTATCGTAGTTACCTAACGAGAAACTCTGGTAATTCACTCACAAAATAAGTTCACTTTTGCATATTTGATTTAGGGAAAAGATGCTTTTTTGAAGTTGGTTTTGTTTTTTCCATTGATTGATTCCACTGAAGTATTCAACCTCTGTTGACATATCGGTAGGAAAAGCAAAAGTGACTTAAACAAAAGTAATAACTGATACTCGTCGCCCAATAGGTCATTGGTTCGACCTCCCAGTCGGGACACCATCACTCACTGGGAACTGCAGTCACTTCCTATTTTAGTATGATGACTGTCTGTCAGTAAATCATTATGCTTATGATAAGTCGATTGGAAATCGAATAGTATGTAATATAGTCTTCAGTCAAAGAAATAATTCACGTGAATGTTTTATTGTAATCTTACGACAGGTGGTATTGTGACGTATGCAACTGATAAGTAGCATATAAGCAGAGATATAAATATGTATATCAACTTCAAGAATATCGAATAATGGAAAGACGGATTTGATGAACAGTGCTGGTGAAACAACATGGAAAACATGAAAGGAAGACGAAAAAGCACAATACGAAAGACAAAACAGTACAATACCGAAGACATATGCAAATTGTGATTCTAACATATATATATATATATATATATATATATATATATATATATATATATATATATATATATATATTATAATTTCTGTTAAAGTAGTTCAATATATTCTATAGTAAATTGCTTTGTTTAATAAAAGTACTTCATTGTCTTCTACTTTCATCTTTTATTTTTGTTCATTTTAGCCAAAAAAAATTGAAAAGGCCATGGTATAGAGAAACATCAAGTGCAGAAGAAAATGAAAGAGCACGTCAAGCTTATCGAGCCCTTATGACTCTTACACTTTTAAAGCCTGACAGTCCAGAATATCGCACATTCACTGAAGAAGTAAGAGCAAGAGCTCTGCGTGATTATGATTTCAGTTACCGAGACTCTGAAGTAAGTTGTTTTTATTTCACTATGCTTAATATCTAAATAAATTTTCTTAATTTGGAGTAAAAGTGAAAAAGTTTAGCCTACCTATTATTATTTTTTATTATTGTTCGCTTGTTTTCCGAGTGGAACATAAGGCTTTACCAGTACATCTCCACTCTATCCTATTTTCTACTGTCCTCTTTGCGTGGCCCCACGATCACTTATACTCTCTCATCTCCAACTAGCACTATCTCCTCCATGTCACCCTGGGACGCACGCCCAACTCGTCAATTCCCATTCGCATTTCACTCGAACAGTGGCCTGACGTGCGATGTCATTCGACGGTCTCCTCGTTGTGTGACCAGTTCATCTCTATTTTCTTCATCATTTTCGTTGAGCAATAGGTTCTTGATTAGTTCGTTCCCAAAATTCATTGCTGCTAATTCTTTCTGACCGTTTGGTCTTCAATATGCAGCCAGCCAAGACAGCTGTTGGTAAAAGTCTTCAGTGGCCTATTGGAAATGTTGATGTAGTAAAAAGCTATAGTGTGTCAGTTATTATTATTCCCTTGGATTCACTTGAAGTTTTACCTTTGCTGCTTCTTCTTCCAAATTGTTAGTTTTCGTCTTCAAGTCTTCGAGTTTATGTGACATTAGACACATATCATCTGCGAAATCCAGATATTTTAGTTTCTTCACCGATGGTCCAGCGTGCTTCTGTCTCCTCGCTCCTTGCAGTCTGATGCATAATCCAGTTTACCACAATTGAGAATATCATCAGTGACAATAGGCACCTCTGTCTTACTCCTGTATGTACTTCGAACGCCTCACTACGTTTTCCGTTGTGGATCACCCAGCACGTGCCACTGTCAAATGGCCGGCTGTTGATTGATGTTGATAAAGACTTGAGGTACTCCGTAGTGTTGAAGCAGTTTTCAAATTACTTCTCGGTCAATGCTGTCTGGTGAAGGCCTTTACGAAGTCGATCAAGTTTAGGTAAAGATTTGACTGCCATTCTATGATTTGTTCTGTGATGACGATGTTTAGAGCTGTAATTTGATCAGCACATGATTCGCCTTTCCTGAATGCAACTTGTTCTGGTGGGTGGCGGAGTTCTGCACCCCGTGCACCCTTTATTCTTTCCAGGATGATGCAAAATAGTATTTTACTTGGCCTCGGACAAGAGCATGACTCCACGCCAGGCAGAGGCTTAATTCGTTCTTCTTTGGTAGCCTGATAGGGTTGGCTTTCTTCCAATCGATAAGCGCATTTCTTTCTTTCCAAAAGTTTTGCAATAGTGGGGTGAGCATATCTGCCGCAGTCTCTCGGTCCGTTTTCAGTGCTTCGGGGTGGGGAAATTCTGTCTGGCCCTGCTTCTATGATTAATACATAACCTGATATGATTATAAACTATAAAGTGTATTCGAAACGTCTTCCAGTTAATTATACTGTTATTCTGGGTGATATGGCCAGTATAGGAATTAATAAGAAATTACATACTATCACAGTGTCTAGGTTTCACACATGTGTCTGTTTGTTTTCTTCTCTGTCAATCTGATTTGTATGTTGTATTTTCACGACTACTCTTCTTGATAAAGAAATTAAGTTAGCTCATAATTTGCCATATAGGCTATTGTGTTGGTCTAAACCGTGTGGTTGCAAGTGACTGAAAATTGTTTTCACTGAAATAATTGTAGATTTTAGCTGAGTTAGCTGATATTCGGACGTGGATTTCTTCACATTTTCTTCTGCTCTAAATCTGTGAAACCTTTTACATTATATAATTTAACTATCCAGTGTTATTCTATCATCTTTCTCTGCTTTTGGTTCATTTAAACATTTTGTTTATTTGTCCATAGCCAATTTGTCACTTGATATCTTTTAAAGATCTCTGGTCATATGGACTGGTCCAGAATTTGGCTTTTCCGTTATTCCTATTAGTTTTTATACAGATTAATATGTAAAGGGAAATAGTGTAAAAAGCTTGATGATTTATTTTACGCACTAGATTGTATTCATCTTATTGATAACTATCACCATATGAATAGATAGTGGTTTTGCTGTGTTTTGTGTGTGTGTATGTGAGTGTGTATGTAAACTGCTACTTTACTTGTTCTTCGTGTTTATCATCACATTCCTTTATTGTCAGTTATCAGTAACCTTTTTTTGGTTACTTCAGTTACTTTTAATTTCGCGTTGATTGGTTCTGTTGAACCGAAAACGCCGTTCACCACTGAAAGACGTGAATACTTACTTAGCTGATGAGCCCCAGTTGGAACAAATCACGCGTGTCCTGGAATTTGTCAGTAGTCACGGTGTACCAAATTAACCTCTGTGAGACTGAGGTATACCACAACTTTTCACTTTTAACCAATCAAAAATAACTGATTAAGTTGAGTATTTCAGTGGTATTTGTGTTATAGTGGCATTCTTGATAGCCTAGAAAAGTTCTTAGTATTTGGTGCATTTTTAGTCTGTTTTCATATTTGTTTAATTTTTGGTCAGCTTTTCTTACTTTGATTTCGAAGTTTGTTTGAGATTAGAGCTCTTGGGATCGACCGTGCATTATTTATAATTATTATTCTTTCTATACATAAGTAGGTTAATCATTCGTTTCTCTACCTTATCTAACATTGAAGCGCTATATCACACGTTTTAGTGAAAGTTAAAAAGCAACAAACAACCGTATTATTTAGGAAAACAGCTAACTACTTTTGAAGTCTTCAGTCTTTTTATGTTTTTTTCTTCCTTTGTTTTCAAAGTAAATAAAACATGTTTTTCAATCAATGCATATCCAGCAATACCTATGTAAATTTTGGCCAGTTTATATGAAGTAGTAAGGTGATATTGTTCTAATATATAAATGGTATACATCAAGATATCACTAATTCTCGGCTCTGTTATGACCGTTAAGACACTTTGTAGTTTGTGCTAACAAACTTCCTACCTAGTCAATTTGCGAGCCTACTGTTCTAATTAACATCAACAACAACACGATACGATACCACTACTCAAGAAGACAAGAAGACAAACCGTTGACATAGACAGCTTCTACTGTCGCGAATCAACAGAGAAAAAAAGATAACAGCATTTGGGTATATAGATATAAATGCTTTAAATCACCCTGAAAGACACCAACTACATTGATAAGTCAAACCAGTCAACAGCCACTAGGACTCCAAGGCCATAGATGTGGCGGTGGGGGGAGTACAAATACCACTGTATTGTAAAAATAGATGAGTGATTCATTTTTTTTCTTTTTCATTTGAAGTTGCCAATAACTTGTTTGTAACATTCTCTAATAGGAGTTAATCTATCTCTCATGCTTTACTTCTTTAAACACTTTTTCAAATACATATGTATATGTAAAATTGCTTTTTTCTAGTAATCTGTATCCCAGTACATCATTTTCATCCACTATTCCACATGCATTTGTTTTCACACTTAAAGATAACACCGTTTATTGGGACATTTCACGATGCTGTCAAGTTATACGCCTTAGCTTTAAATGATGCTTTAGCCAAAGGTGGAACTATTACCAACGGGACACTAATTACCCACGAAATGTGGAATAGATCATTCAAAGGTATGTTTAATTCTTTTCCTTTTTTTAATTTAAAAAATAAGTAAAAATTACTGTTGTTTATATATTACTTTTTTTACACATGTCTGGAAGATGCTAGTAACAGGGCCAGTTACGTAGTATATATATGTATATATATGTATAGTAGTTTTTGTAAAATACAATGTACAAATTGACCAAATAATATTTCTATCGGATTTATTGTTATTCTGTTTTATATTTACGCATGATCATATCAGTTGATAGGTATCTTTTTTGAAGAATATAAAGGCCGTCTATTTGTGTTAATGTATTTATAATTATCTGGTCTACTCAGAGAGAACAATTGCCTTCAATAAATTCTTCTTCAGGCTCTACAATTAAAAATTCATCAATACTGGCATACACTAGTCAGTAAAGACAGATTAGAATTATATCGGAAGCTGTATTGTAGTACAAGTACAAGGCTCAATAATACTCAGTTTAGATTGTCATTAAATCCATATAAAATATGTATGGTCAAAATAACATGAGATAGAACGAAATGAAATAATTCACAGATACGCATTTGTGTATGTATACTCAGCAGAAATTAAAGGTAGTGCAGTCTTCGCCCATTTATTAGGGATATTCAATAAAGCCAGAACAGGCGTTTTCGCTTATCTGTCATTTCTCTAGTAATCTTCCCAGAGTAGCTTGAATGCGTCTTCTTTCAGTAGCTAAAGTGATAGCGATCAATAAAAGAGGACCTGGCCTCTGTATTCAGAAGACATATATCCAGCCTCAGTTTACAATAAGGCTAACAAATCCTGGATAAACAATAGTGATTAACTTTCAAGAGTTTGGTTTGTAAGGATTAGGTTTGTTTATACGAGTTTGACCACGGATTGATATCAGTTAGAGAACCATTGAAAACCAGCACCAGTGTACTGGACAGCTATTTCATCCTAGTTTGGGAATCATTGGCAGTAGGCACCCACTGAGTTTAGAAGGTCTCGGGTTCTAACGAACACATCACTGAAGTATTTTATCTCATCCTATTTTTGACCATAGAATATATATGGATTTACATGGTAACTGGAACTCATTAACTATTACTCTGTCTTGTACATGTACTACACTACACCTTCCGATATAATTCTAATTCGCCTTTACTGACTAATGCATGCCAGCACTAGTGGATTTATAATTGTAGAGCCTGAAGGAGAACTTATTGAGCACAATTATTCGCTCTAATAATTTTTGTTTTGAATTTATTGTAGAGTATATTTTAATTCTCATTTATTTATTTGATGATATTCGAAATAAGTTTAAGTCATTGACGTCACTTAACTAATGATAAATAAATTTTACTCTTTTGTGTACTTGTTTACCTTGCACAGATCTTCAGTGTTCCCAGCTTTATGCATTTCTTAAAAATCAACAATAAATGTTAGCTAGACCTGGAGAAACTATGCTATTCGTGAGAGTTTTTCTCCCCTCATCATCATCCAGTGTAGTACAAAAATGTTATGCTCAAGTGCGAATAAATTTGTTACTGGTAAAGTTTGTATTAAATGCGATGATGAAAGAGGGAGAGCGAGAGATTCAGTAGTATTTAAATGAGGGAGAAGATTAGTAGCTCAGATAGATAATGTTTACTGTTCGTGTATCCTCTCAGCTGTATTGTTTACCTGTGAGGTGTTGTCACTCTGGTGTCTGTCAAAGAAGTTTATTGATTATTTTTGAAAAAAGGATGATTTCAGTAATTTCCAAATTGCCTTTTACTCATTTAAACAAAACAACAGATTGAGCGAAGAAATATATTCCTTTTCAGTTATAGTTCCTCATCATCGGTTCAACGCTAGTGTATATACCTTTTTACATCAGAATTTTACTAATCAGTTGGTTACTTTAGTTGAACAGTTTTAAGTAAGAGGGGGGCGAAATCAAGAAGTTAAAGGTCATCAAAACAAATAAGTATTAGGTGTTAATAACAAGATATCTAAGTTTTAAAAGGAGGGGGTGTGAAAATTAATTACCGAATTCAAGATAGGTTGATTCTTACGCGTTGGCAATAAGTTATCACACAAACAAGAAATTTTTAAATTAGCAATGATGACTAAGAAGAATAGGATGACTTTGAAGAATTACCGTAAACTAAAAACAAGTTAATAGAATTAGCTAGAATTGTAAAAAATGGCAAAGTCAAAAGATAGTTACAAGGGCAGGGGAGAAATTGTTTTCTTTTTAAAAACCTAATGCAGATTATGTAGTTGGCCCTGGCAAAGAAAAGGCCCTACAAGTTTCTTTTGAACACATAGATTTGGCTGGATTAGATGAATTCCGATTGCCTCTGTTGTGTGTAAAAATTGTGTGATAGAGAAGATTTGTAGCTCAGGTCGTATGTAAAAGGTTGACAGATAGCTTCTAAGTATTGTCAAGATGTTTCAAAGACCTTCAGTACATCTTTCTTCTCAAAACTCAAATTTTGTTTTGTTGTACAGTTATTTACTTAGCTATGGATGCCTTAGTTACTTATATGTATTATATTAAATAATTGTCTGACTACTTTTTATAACCATGTCATCTGTGGTTTTCATCGTAAATATCACGAGTTATTATTGCTAGAAAAAATAGCTTCAGGTAATTATATTGAGTAAGATGACCGTCCCAATATCACAAATCAAATAAGATCATGGGCCATTGAATCGGGTCCCAGTGGCTGAATGGTATACGAGTTTACCTTGTAACCGGAAGGTCCTGGATTGAAACTTCAGTGGGTTCGTACTGACGATGATTCCCAAACTGGGATGAAACAGCTGTCCAGTACTCCGGTGTTGGTTTTCAATTGTTCTCTATCTGATATCAATCCGTGATCAACTCGTAAAAAAATAACGAATCCTTACAAACCAGTCATAGAAAATAAAGTCACTCTTAGTCAGCTTAGTTGTCCAGCTGCTATGAGCAGATCCCAGTCACTGGTATTGTACTGACTTGTATGCTGTAGTGTTTTCACAATAGGACTACAACACTTTTTGTATTTGAAAATTTCCAAAATGTTAGCGAAACGTTCTCACGAAATTCCTATGCTAGAGAAGTGTGATTTCCAGCGTGCTCAATATTCTTGCAAATCATCTTCTTTAAAGCACTTATCATGTAACATGTTAAAATGAAATTCCCTGTTTAGACTGTCTGCTTCCACTAATTTTTATAACCTGTCTCACTTTTTATATAACCAATTGTTTTGTCTTCATTATTACCTTAGGTGTCACTGGTGTTGTTCGTATTGATGCAAATGGTGACCGTAACGCCGATTATTCTTTACTGGATATGAATCCGATAACTGGAGACTTTGAGGTAAATAGTTCTGGAGATTTTGTTTGAAACATTTTTTGCCTGGGGAAAATTTTTTTCTTTAATCAAACAGTACTCAAGTGTTTGTTTGACTATGACTATTCACGTGAATTGTTTTCATAGGCTGAGTTATTCTTTAGCAATGCAATTCACCAATTCATGAGCAATTTAGTAGTGGTATAGTTAATCCTCTTAAATTACATTTTTGTGATCAGTCTATCAGTTCAAAAGATTTTATGTTCTTCTTTATTATATATCGTTGTATAATTTCTGTCACAAATCATATCAACCACTGAACAGCGAAAATTTAAGAAACAGAAAGCTACCTTGCTTTTCCTTAAGATTATTTGTCAGTGTACACAGATGACCCAGTGAGAAATAAAACTCAGGTCTTGTAAAGAACGCATAATTATTCTACCATTGTGTCACAGTTTACTGGTTCACAATTTCGGAGTTCAGCTAAGTCAGTATATAGTTATACTAGCAGTGAATATCATCAGTGACCGTGTAAAAATCAAATTTTTCGTTCAAACTAGTCACAATTTCCCATCAACTACCTATAAGGTATATTTACTGATAAGAGCTGTATCGTTAAACAACCAAAGAAACATTTAAAAGCTAAGAAAAACCTACCGGTGAATCCCAACGCAATCATTTCCATAGTGATGTATACACTCGTTACGAGATCTAAGGATTATATTTCCTAATGAGTTCGTGAATGGTTAGTGATGAAAAGTTACAAACTAGAGCAAAACAACTGTTTACTGTTACTCAATTTTCAATGGTTTGACCACGGATATTGAATGATGACTACGTTTAAGGTGAAATTAAGTTCAGAACTGAGAGACAACAATAATACCTCTGAAATAATGAAGATCTGTAGCCAAGTTATATGCTTCTAGTGTTGTATTCCCTGAGCTAAATAAATTAATTTCAAAGCTTTCCTTGTCGTTCTTGATAAAAATCTTCAGCGCTAAATCCAATATATGAAATATCTGCGTTTTTTTAATGACTTTGAATGGGATTGATACCTACATTTGAACTTACTTGTTCAGTATTCTTATATGTATATATATATATATATTGTAAGAAATGTAATAGTTTTGAAATTGACAGTTACTCACCGAAGAAGACATTGCGAATTGATCGCACTATGTCGTAAATTGGCAGAAGTTGGAATTTATGGGCTGGCTATTGGATCAAAACGTAGTGGGTGAGAGAATGGTCTACGAGCTAGCTTGCCTTGTAACCAAAAGGTCCTGGGTTCGAAAATTGTCTGTGGGTGCGTACTACTGAGGAGTCCCAAAGTAGGATGAGACAGCTGTCCAGTACTCCCTGCAGGTTTTCCAATGGTTCTCTTTACTGATATGAGCTCATGATGAAACCCTGAAACCAATCAAACAAAAAACCTATGCCAAACAATACTTCAAAATAGAGATGTATAGAGACATGTGATAAACTGTTATCGGATATTACGCTTTCCTGGTACATTCGCCTTTTAAAACTAATGTTATAAATAAATTATTAAGTCAACAAAGGTTATGGCTGTAAAATTTTAACTGTACGAAGGAAGTATTATGAATAAATTTTCAAGCTTCTGATGACATATTTGGTATTTTGTCAGTATAAATATATACTGTAGAGTTAATCCATATTCGAGGCTGTGAAGTATTCAACCATCAACCGATTGATCAATGGTTTGAATTTTGTCCTAAGTTCCGGTGTCTGAGCACTCAGATAGTATCGCTATCCTTTAAGCAGTAGTTTGCATTCACTGCTGAAATGCTTTCGTCACTGAGAGCTGAATTCAATCAAACTTTCATAAAATTTCAGTGCAAAATATTTTATTGTTAGAATGTTACCTGACAAACTTGGTGTTCTCTTGCCAAGTGTGTTAATTATTATACACCTGTTTGTCGCAATAGTCGTATTACAGTTTCTATTACTGTAAATTAATGTTTCTTTTACTTCATCAAGCTAACAGAAACCACTTTTTTATGAGCCAATTGTCATGTTACATTTCTGTCACTCTCAACAATTTTTCGTCTCAATGGCTTTACTCTTTATTATTTTTTATTAACAGACATCAAATTTACATAACAAAAAAATAGTTTTCAGTTGTTTGTATCACATTAGTTATCGAAATATTATAATAGTAGCGAAACAAAATGGCTTGATCGAGGTTTCCCCTAGCTAAAAGAAATGTATGCATGTGTGTGTGTATGTGTCTATGCGTGTGTACTTGTATCTGTGTACTCAAATTAAATATAGAAGAATAAAGCTAATATGCCTAGAATTCTTCGTTTATTTTTTCAAAAATTCATTGAATCTGGTTTTTGCTTTCTTTTTTATACACAAATGAACAAAGTAGTGTTGGGCCTTGGAAAGATATATTTTATCGAGTTGGTAGCACTTTTATAATTTAATAAGAAAATCTTTCATATGATCAGAACATTTCATAATTTTCATGTATATGTTAAATATTACGGTACAATGAAATAGTAGAAGGCTGTAGATTTAGGTCTTCAGCTTTTTCTGCACTTATCGGTAAAGCATACATACATATTTGTGCACATAGACAAACTGTAAAGATGAGTAGTTGTGAATAGTTGTCGGACAGCTGTCAACAAAGGATATAGAAGGCTGGCTTAGAATTTACTATCTTTAGTCATTTTTTGACACCACCAGGTTGATATCTGACTGCTTGTTAAAGTGTGAGTCTACTAAATACCAGTCTGCAGGGTTTCCTACTTTACGGCCGTAGAAAAGAGAAGATGATATGAAAAATTTTTCTTTTAACACAGATAACCTTATTTCATTGCTCGTATGATGTAGAGTAACGTTAGATTATTGTTCGAGTCAAATACATTATGAATACGTAAATGTTCAATAATTAAGTTGCTCACGATATGCCTTGGTCATACCTACCCAGAACAGTATTACCTGTAGTAGGGCCGAGTTGGGAAAGCTTTAGTCAGTATAATGAATCCCATGAAGTTTGTGACTATTGAATTAACCTATTTTTGGGGATGTGTAGGTTGCATGGTTCAGGTCCTGGACATGTTGAAAATCAATCGTGTGAGACATTTAGTGACATACCGTGAGGTTTGATCCAATAATACATCTATTCACTTCTTATCGTCAACATTTTAAAGATATTTAGTAATCTTTATTTCACCTTTTCTCTTTTCCCCATCATATGTTTGTTCAGTGGAAGTGTGTGTTTGAAGTGTGTCAGCATTTAATAATATATATTCCTTTTCAGTGTTGTACATTGATATGTTCGTCTGTTTTAATATAGTGATATAGTTTAGGACATGGTCAACGAATGTTCAGTGTTCAAATCTAATATGGGACATAAATTTCCTAAAAATAATAAGTACCTGTAAGCATGAAGCCGATTGCATTCAATGTTTCTTCCCACTCAACATTTTCACTCAGCTCCTTCCCTCCTCCCAAAAAAATAATTAATAAATAAAATCTCACTACATTGTTGTGTCATTTAGTTTAGTGATTATCTCGCCTTGCACACTTGATCGATTAGATTCACACAAATACTAGAAAGCTATGTTTTTCGTCACCACTGTGTTTATAGATTCAATAAGTTTGCTAAATAAGAGTATAAACAATCATGACTTGTCATTTTCATTGGTTAGTAATCAGTTGTACCATGCAGATGCATTCATATTAGATGGAATGTAAGTGTATAGAAGTATGTAAGTTAACACTTATTTTATCAAGTATATACAAATGTTGGATCGATATTAAAGTATATTATATATGTTATCAGTATAAACTGTAATTTTCTTCTTCATCAGCTATCCAGACTATTTTCTCTCTTAAAATACTTCTCTTTATTGATTAACATTCAGTAGTTACATCCAGTATCCTTTCCTACTCCATCATTATTTCTGTAGTTGTCATTACTTGTTCTTTTAAATGTGTACGAAATGCTACAGTCGTTTTTCGTTGCTTAAACTTTTCAGCATACAAATCTTAAAATGAATCATAGCCAGGTAAATAAAAGTGCATCGGTGGCAGAGTGTTAGAATGCTCGCCAACCACGCATTTGGTCCGGGGTTCCATCCCCGGCCATAGACGCACTCCTTTACCTCGTTAAGGCAGTGGTAAGACTGGTGAAGAGGGAAGGCTGATCATGAGGCTGGCAACCCCATCCCGTAAAAATAAACACCACTGCTACTGAAACTTCAAGCCTCTAGCTTGAACCACTATGTTTCAAGGGAAACGTAAAGGAATAAAAAATGAAAGTATACAACTTCAGAAGTCCTGAATGCAATCAAGATGCTAAAAGCTGGAAAAGCAGCAGGACCAGATGGAATCCCAGCAGAAGCTTTGAAAATGGGCCCAGAGACAACAGCGGACTTGATGACGCCATTGCTGGAGAAGGTGTGGATAGAGGGCAAAGTACGCGAGGATTGGAAGAACGGATACTTATTCAAACTACCAAAGAAAGGAGACTTAAGTCAATGCAAAAACTTGCGTGGAATTATGCTTCTGTCCATTCCAAGCAAGATACTAAGTCGCATCATCCTGGAGAGAATCAAACATGCCAACCTGGATGAAAAACTTCGACCGGAACAGGCCGGATTCAGGAGAAACAAGTCATGTATTGATCACATCGCCACTCTACGTATCATCATTGAACAAAGCTTGGAATGGCAGTCACCTCTCCACCTCAATCAACTTCATCGACTTTGAAAAGGCCTTCGACATCGTCGATCGATAGGTCATTTGGAAACTACTTCGCTATTACGGGGTCCCATCGACAATTATACATCTCATCCAACAGTTATACGACAATGCTGCATGACAAGTAATCCACAATGGGAAACTTACGGAAGCCTTCGAAGTGAGGACGGGAGTGAGGCAAGGCTGTCTACTATGACCAATGATCTTCCTGATTGCAATTGATTGGATAATGCGACAGACAACGGCAACCAACGAGGGAACAGGCATAAAATGGACTGACGCAAAAGACTTGGAGGATCTGGACTTCACCGATGATATATGTCTGATTTCCCACAAACTGGAAGATATGCAAGTGAAAAGTAACAAGTTGGCAGAAGAAGCATCCAGATAAGATAGGACTTCAGGTGAACATAGATAAAACAGATGTGGTGATGAAGATTCCTGGCCAACAACAACAACAACAGACAGCAACCAGCCAGCATGAATGGGAGGAACCTGAAAGAAACAACCTCCTTCACCTACCGACCTACCTGGGAAGCATCGTTTCAACTACAGGCGGACGGAACTGAAGAGGATATCAAAGCCAGAATCGGAAAAGCAAGACAAGCTTTCATTACTCTCAAGTCTGTGTGAAGGTCAACAGCACTCAGAATCAAAACGAGTATAAGATCCGGATCTTCAACTCCACTGCGAAGTCAGTCAGTGCTACTTGCTATACGGATCAGAGACTTGGCCAGCGCGTCATAAAGAGCATCTCAAACAAACTTCAGACCTTCATTAACAGTTGTCTTCGCTCAATACCACTCAAGATCAGATGGCCGGCCAGAAAAGATCAGCAACAGGGATTGATCTCTGGCAATGAGCGAACCAACTCAACAGGAACCGATTGTGAAACAAATAGGCAGGAAGAAATGGAGATGGATTGGCCATATGCTGAGGAGACCATCAAGTGACATCACTAGACAAGCCATCGCTCGAGTGGAACCCGGCCGAAAGGGAAGCGGCGAGTTGGTCGTCCAAGAGTGACTTGGAGGGAAACATGTGAAGAGGAGATGAAAGCATGTAGCCAGAGTTGGAGTGGGGTGAAAAAGTCGTCAGAAAACCGAAGGCAAAGGAGAAGCGCAGCTGAAGTCCTATGTTCCTCTTGGAATTAAACGATATGATAAATAATAATTATTATTATACAAATTCAAATGTATTCCGTTAACCGAGTAGAAATTTTTTTTCTCTTCCTTATTCTTATTTCAAGATAAATTCTACCATAATATTGTTAATACACATTCAGTAATTATTCAAACAAACATTGCATAATATTAGTATTAATAATAGTGGAACTAACTCAAGTCACATCGAGTTTTCTCTTACTATCGTGTTTTCATATGAAATTTTACAAGTTGAAATAAACACTTCTGTTTAGATGACAGAAATGTCAGGGTTTTATATGTGAGCTGAAGATCTGTGTATTGCCAGTTTAAAGGGAAGAAGAGTGTTAAGCATATGCGTTTTTGCCAGACCAGAAATGTGTAGTAACTGAGATTCTGTGGGTTTTAATGAGTTGAATTTCTCTTTACTAATGGTATTCATACTCAAGAGTTCCATTAGATTGTTGATCACCTTACTTTGGAAATTCTTCTCACCTTCTGAGGTAGAGTCTCTAGTAAATTTGTTCTCATTTTCGAGGATGCATATGACCTTACTTTATATTCACTTTTGTCCATCACAACTATACCATAACCTTTATCTGGTCTGAGAATAACAATATCATTACTATTCTCTAGTTCTCTTGGGGCTTTAAAGTGTTCATATGTTAGGATACTTTTCTATGCTATACATCCATTGCAGAATGAGTCAGCAATAACATAGCCCTAAACCAACCTTGGATAACTGCAACTCCCCTTACTTTTGAGTTGAATCTTGGTGTAATCATTCTGCAGGAGGAAATTGGTTATCACTGCATAAGACGTTTGGCTGATGTTTGTAACATCATGATCGCCACTCACTGCCTCAGTGTGCTCGTGGTTGTCATCTGGGTGACCAGACCGGAGTAGATTTTCTACTCTTCAGTTTGACAGTGCACATGCATTCCATCTGCTCTCACAGATTCCTGGCACTTCCATACCGTATCGTCTCATTTGTTTGGAGACCTGGACAGACTTGCCAGCTTCGTAGATTGTACGAAGATTCCATGCTCTCAATGCTTATTTTCGCTTTCATCGAAAGAAAGACACATGGGTTAACTGGCTTCCCGAAGGCCTTCACCAGCCCGCATCATATCGTCTCTCTGATTCCAGAGAAGAATAATTTTGTTTTTATCCATTTTGCTGTGCATTGAAGTTTCTGTATCAGTTTGTTCGATTTTCCGGGTTGGGGTGGCTAGCCCCACATCTAACCTTCTCTCTTTTCTTGGGTTTAGGACCGGCAAGAAAACTAGGCGAGGTTTTCAGTCTGGCTACTGAGGTATTATTATATGCCACAAATGAAAACAACACAGAAATAAAAAAGTAGACACTTCACTCATTTGCAGATTTCAATCGTATAATCAGAATTTTTGAGTGTATAGTATAAATTCGCCTTTATTTTATTGCATTCAGATAATATATTAGAAAAAAATGTTTGTGTTTTCCAATTTCGTTTAACCTATTTTACCTTATTTAATCATTTCTTTCCTTTGATGAAGGTTGTTGTCAATTATTTCGGTAATGACAAATCCATGTCACCTGTGAGTGGTAAAACAATAGATTGGATAAATGCTGAGAATAAACCTCCACCACATACTCCTCCATGTGGATTTGATGGTTCTGAATGTCATAATACACGTGAGTTTTATTCACCTAAGGCTTTTTTCAGTAGTTTTTTTCTTCTCGTCTAAGTGTATATGCACTTGTTTTTTTTAAACAGTTGTTAGCCATGATATTTTATCTGCGCAAGTAATAATATTTTATGCGTGGGTGTAACACAAAGGTAGTTTTTATAAATAATTAATACTGTAGCTGCAACAACTAAATTTGTGTTGTTTTGCTTTCTGATATCAACAATCTGTATGACATTATTCTCAGTAAGAAGTAGACTGAAGAAAACTGACTAAGACTGGATTTCATATCTTAACTGTGCTTTGCTTAGCTCCTAAACAATGTCCTAGGCTTCACTACAACTGGGAAACAGGATTTTCCAATCGGATTACAGACAATATCTAGTTGTCTGAGTGTGTTGTGATGTCATTATTGGCATCTCATATAAAGGAGACTTGTCATGATCTCTGCAGGCTTCCATCTCAATGCAATCCTTATATTGTATGTAGCCATAGTTTGGTTTTACGTAAGTTGTACCATCTACAGACGCATACACACAACATGAGACTTGACGATTAAATGAAACTAAGAATATGGCAGGATCGTCGACAGTCAAACACATGGTTCTGGTTTGACTCTCAATGGACGCACTGTTAAACCTCGTCTAGTCTACTAGCCAACAGTAAACCCGAAAAAGAGGTAGATTTGATGTCAGGTGAGCAATCCCATTGAAAACAACACTGCTACTGAAAATTCAAAAAGCTTGAAACCTTATGTTACACTTGGAACACACAGGAATTCAAAAAGGAATATAATAGTAATAGGAGTTGACCACGGATTGATATCAGATAGAGAACAATTGAAAACCAACACCGGAGTACTGGACAGCTGTTTCATCCTAGTTTGGGAATCATCGTCAGTACGAACCCACTGAAGTTTCAATCCAGGACCTTCCGGTTACAAGGTAAACTCGTATACCATTCAGCCACTGGGACCTGATTCAATGGCCTGTGAATTCTAACTTCTACCAATTCGTGATTTAGAGCGATCAACTGTTGATAGTAGTAATAATTAGCGTAATACATCTGATTCACAAAGTAAATGTTGATTGGCCTGTTTTTACTGGATGACTATACATATTCTTTTTGCCATTGATCAACTTATATTTTGCATAACTTTTTCTCTTATTCTGCTTCTTAAACGAAAGGCTTTTTTATAATAATTAATTATCCTTTCTCGTGTAAAACACTATGGATTTTAGCTATTAATACTTAAAATTCCTGAAAGAATTTACTAACAATAACTTTTTTTCTATGTCTCCTTTTCTTCGATGACTGAATAAAACAGTTTTCACTTTTCTTAGATTCATAATTATAATTTGATGTATTTCGTGTTTGTATCCACTGGTAAAATACATTGGTATTTTAAGTTTTAGCCTTTGAAATTGAATCTGTCAGTGATATAAAGATTTCACTACGGAGGTTGAGTAGTCAGACTGCTATCTTCAAAAGTATTCATGACTTTGTAGCATATTATTGTTATTCTCCTGAGTTCTGAGTGCAACATAAACCTTCAACAACACACCTCCACTTAACTCTGCAGTCTTTTTTGGATCGCTCCACGATTGCCCTCCTTACATAAGCTCCTACATGTCACTCATCTTCATCTATTAAGGTTCTATTCGATGGACTAGCACGTGATATCGCTCAACGTGCTCTTTAGTGTATGAGAATTCCAACTCAATCCCCTTCTGCGTATTTCTTGAGCGACAGGTCATCAGCTTCGTTCCCTGAGTTCTTGTTGCTTATCAATTCCAGCCTGCCATCTGATCTCCAGTATCAAGTCAACGAAAGCAACTATTGATAAAAGTCTACAACCTGTTGGAAATGCTTTCCGCAACTTGCCATGCACCGAGTCTCTGAACTAAATACAAGCACTGATTACATACATTAGTGTTGGAAATTCGGTTTTCATTCCTTGTGCTGAGTTAATTTCCAGGCTGATTTCAGAATAATGAGTGTGTGTCTTGGTTTTCTGATCGTGGCTGGCTTTGACATCCACGTGTGTTTCGCTTGTAGATAAGTCAGAGTCATAGAATACGAGTGAAAAGTCCTTCATTTACTCGCCTGTCGTTTTTTTACATGTTGCTACCCTAGTACCATCAGTTTTATTCTATAAAAGGAAAAAATTAATTCAAAATTCACTTTTAATAGATATATATGTCCTCCATACAATATATATATATATATATATATATATGTCTGTTACAAGAACTGGGGATAGTCGTCACAACAGACATAATAACAAAGAAATCATTTTAGAATAATATCACATGCGTGCGTAATTGACGCATTAACTTTATGTGAAGTGTACTCTATACGTATCGATCAGCATTAGCCTAGGAGTTAACTGCATACTTATCACATTGACCATAAGACGACCGCTACCACCATTTATTTCTCACTCAACTAAAGTAGAAATTCTTGTTTATTTGTTAGTTGTTTTTTTTTTAGAGATGAGAAACATTTTCTCTTCTATGCTAGTAGCCATTTGGCCATTAGGTTAGTAAGCAGGTAAGTAACTACTAAGTGGTAGTTAAACTCATAATCGATGTATGTGGCTAAGTCAACAGATGTTAAAGATAGGAATACAGAAAATAGTTGAGTAAATAGTAGAATTAATAATCCTAAGTAGCACTAGTAATAGTAGTAGTTAGTAGTAAGTAGTCTTAGTGGCAGTATGCCTAATCTATCTGTCTATTTTTCATCAATTAGGAAATAAAGATTATTGTTTTTATTGTGATTTAATGATAACTCGAGTTGTTATCATTAACATTATTTTTATTATTATTGCAACCATATGGTCATTCGGTTGTTTCGTTACAGCATATTATATTATTCTCTATGGTCTTTCTTTCTGTCTCTCTCTCGCCTTCATGCACACACATACATTATAATTAGTATCAACGACTATTACTCTTGTCATTATAATTATTATTACTATTGTTGTTATCATAGTGTTTTGAATCAACCTGATCTAAATAAAATATAGATATGAGTAAATGAAAAGGAACAGAATTTATAGACCATATGGTCAAAATATTTTCCTCTTCAATTGCATGTGATGTGATATAGCGTAATTAATGTTTAAGGCATATATTTACATGTTGCTTAATACTATCAATAAGCATAGCATAGACACACAAAGTAGACAAAGATCACACTTCAGGTTGGTGTATGTGTGTATACACAAGGATTTGCATGTGTGTTGTGTGGGTATATTTACGTGTATGATATATATATTTTTTTAAGTTTCAGTGAACAAATGACCTTAAGTGAAAATAGACTGTGTTTTATGTTTAGAGTTAGTCTTAAATGTGTGGTACAATTGTCCTCAGAATACAATCCCGTTCATGATAAATAGATAGATGACAATGAGAATAACATACACAAACAAGATGAATTCATGTCTGATTGATTAGTCAACTACTATTAAGAACTTCCGTCAACGATGTAAGCATAACTGAATTCATTCATCTGTCTGTACAGGGGATTGACAATGTTCAACATTATTATCTAATTCCTACAAACTAACTAACAGTTAGAGAACCATTGAAAACCAGGGAGTACTGGACAGCTGTTTCATCCTAGTTTGAGAATCATCGGCAGTACACACTGTCCAGTAATCTCTAGTTTTCAATAGTTCTCTAACTGATATCAATCCGTGATCAACTCGTAAAAACATAACTAACCCTTACAAACCAAACTATAAAAAATTAATCTGATGCTCGCTAGTGACTTGTTGCAAGATGGAGTTTCCTGGAGTTCTGGTGAGAAGTCGTGACCAGTGAGGTCCAATTAGATGTCACGTGTGTAGATGGATGTCCCACCAACAACAATGGTTGGGATCGCGCTAAGTCACGAATTGGTAGAAGTTAGAATTCACAGGCCATTGAATCAGGTCCCAGTGGCTGAATGGTATACGAGTTTACCTTGTAACCGGAAGGTCCTGGATTGAAACTTCAGTGGGTTCGTACTGACGATGATTCCCAAACTAGGATGAAACAGCTGTCCAGTACTCCGGTGTTGGTTTTCAATTGTTCTCTATCTGATATCAGTCTGTGATCAACTCTTAGAAAAAAACATAACTAACCCTTACAAACCAAACTATAGAAAACTAACTAACATAGAAAATTAATCTGATACACACTAGTGACTCTGACCATAGAATGAGGTTGCTTGAAGTTCTAGTGAGAAGTCGAGACCACTGGAATCCACCAAGCTGGGTGCGAGGACAAGTACTCACCAATGACAATGACTGGGGATGGAACTATAAGTCGCGAGTTGGCAGGGATTAGAATTCATGGTTGGTTGGATCTCGTCTTAGTGGTTGAATGATCAACAGGTGCTTCTTGTTACTTAGAGTCTCTGCTTTCGATTCTTGGTGTAACTATGGGTATTTACAGCTGAGGATTCTAAAACTGAGATGAAACAGTTGTTCAATACTCCCTGATGTCTTATGATTCTCTGACTTAAGTCAGTTCGTAATCATTTTTGAAATCAGTCACATCCTTGCAAGCCCTTACTCGAAGAACATATCAACAGGAACATGTGATTATGATTAGGAATTATCGATAATGGAATGTAACAGATTTGGGTTTGTAGGGATCCTGGTTCATTTCAAAATAGATTTTTAATGAACTTATGTCATTCAGAGGTTCATCGGAAACCTAGGAGTACCGGACAATTGTCTTATTCTAGTTTGAGATTCTTTAGCGGTATGCTTCTACAAAGTCACTACAGGTCAAGTCCATAAATTTAAGCCTACCAGGCTATTATGTTACTGTTCAACCATTCTGCGAATTCTTGAGATGTTCTCGTTGACACTTTATATAATCGAGTGAACAGATGCGTGGGTTTAATAATACTGATTCAATGAACAACTCAGCTGGTATGCTAGATACACCTATTCGTCCGTGGTACCTTGCGCTTCACTGAGCCACGTAAATATCAAAAGACAAAGACTGGCCTCCGACGATTAAAATACGGTTTTTTATTAGGAAAATACTTCATATTGATATATATTTTTTCATCACATCAAAATCGTCCCTAAACAGTGGGAATGGACTGTTCTGACTGATTGACAATTCGGCTAAGGCAGGCGAAAATAAATATTCTGATTATTTGTCAATCTGATCAAGACAAAGATAATGAAGTGTTTTTATCATCCAGTCACACAATGAATCACAAGATGAGTCATAAGATGATTACTATTTTAAGCTGATTCCTCTCAATTCTGAATTCTGTCTTTACTCCGAAGAGTACACAGTAACTAGGACAAAACGACTGTCCAGTGTTCGTTGGTTTTCAATGACTCCTTAATTTATGTTCATGAGGTAATTTATGCCAACAGGAATACTTATTAAGAAGTATAAGTTTTTCATGGACAACTATGAATTATGGTTGCACTAATCTGTGAATTTTCAGAAGTGAAGAAATAGACAGTTAGATTCCAAATCACTGTTCGAACATTAATGTGCATAATAAACTATCATATTATTGAATGTGTTCATGAGTGGTATGCGCTACTGAAGAGTCGCGAACTCGGATTGACGTGTGTGCTACTGTCAAGAATAGGAGAGTAATGTGATGTCTTCTGCCAACATGTTGAATAGAGGATTACCAGTTGTGAGTAGAAATACAGGATTGTTTATTATGCAATTTTCATGCAAATGTAGTGGCAGAATGTAGCACAACCTTATATCGTAAATATAATTCGCACAAACCACTAATGCTCTTCATTTATCAGAATTCTTCACGAACGAAAATCAGATGGAGAGATTATTAGAAACCAGGGAGCGGTAGACAGCTATTTCATTCTATTCTGGAACTGTTCAGCAGTGCACACGCTTAACCATACCAGCGATCGAGCCCAGGATATTAAGGTTACGAGGCCAAACTTGTCAACCATTCAACCACTCAGGCCGGAACGCATGAATTTTAACTTTGTCAATTTGTAATATAACACTGCCTTCATCAATGTCTTCGATGAGCACGCTTTTCGTCTTTACATGGTTGGAATCCACCGGTTACGACTTCTCATGATAGCTTCAGGACATCGATCCAATAGCTGTCTATGAACTAGAGATTGATATTTAGATTGTGAGTTTCTATGGGGATCCAGATTAATTTCAATGTATTTTCTGATCAGGAACCAACATCAATTAGAGACTATTAAAAACCAGGGAGGACTTAAACGTTTGTTCCTTCCTAGTTCTGGTTTCCTCAGTAGTAGCACCCACGACCCCGCCAGTGTGGGATTCCTGGCTTTTAATGATCTCTAAACTGATGTTGTTTCGTGAAGAAATCTAACAAGTGAGATTAATCCAAATCCTCACAAATCCCGAAGTCTGATTATCATTCATGTTCTACTTCCCTGTGCATTTCTTTTCTATTTCACCTTTTCCATTTCATTCCTCCTCTACTAATTATCTATTTTCTAAATTTTTTCGTTGTCTGTAAACATCATTCGTCCTTTTTCTCTCCAGGAGTTTTGCAGATAGCCTTACACTAATACTGCGCAAAAAGTTTCGCTAGGAGTACATTTCGCTTGTACAGTTTTCTTTATATATATTTGAGATTTCATTTTCTAACTATTCAGATGTTTAACTCATTCATTGACTTTTGTATAATGTTTCAATAAATCAGAACTCTAGTAATTCCTTAGCTATTCAAGTCACCCTTATTGAAATTCTTCTTTTATTGTACACTGTCGACTAAGCGTTCTGATAATTTCATCTGTTGGCAGTTGTGATCACCTTCGTCAATACATAGACAAAACTTGCTTATACTGCCTTTTGTTCTTAATGTTAAACTATTGTCACTCAATTATGATGGCATAAGTTCTGTTACTAAGGCATACAAACATATGGAACTGTCAGTGAACTTTAGTTTGGATACACTTATACTAATGGATTAGAATAGCCTAGCAACAAGTCTAGCACCATCAGTGGAGATGATTTTTAACTCGAGTTGTAAACAGTATCTGTTTCGAAATTCTGTCAGATTTGATACTTGATTGTGGACCGTTGACGTTAGGCGTAGAGTGTTGGGTAAAGAGGGAAAATCAATCGACGAGGCTATAAAGTTACATAGACTAAGATGGCTAGGTCACGTGCTGCGCATGCCTAACCACCGCCTCCCTCGACGGGCATTGCTAGCTGATATAGGTGCAGGCTGGAAAAGAGCCAGTGGTGGCCAAACAAAAACATGGCCTCATCAATCCATGAAATCCTTGACAGTTAAACTGAGTCAGGTAGGGAGATGCAGACTCCCGGGTTGGGGTCCTCGGGACTCTAGGAATCAATGGCTGGAGACAATAGGTGACATGGCTCAAAATCGTTGTCAATGGCGCAGATGTATTCAGTCTCTGTAATCTTTCATATTCCTTTCTACCATTACCCATTCTGTTTCACTCTTATACTTGTCAAACTCTATTGATTCACTTCACTCATCTTCTTGTCTACCTCTGTGTGCTATTTGGAATGTGGCAACTCGAAATGGTGCACTTCGGTGCCAAGTTCTATGTTGAATCCAGACAGACAGACAGAGTGGACCGTGCGATTTTACTATCCGTAACGTAAAAGTGGAGGTTGGAACAAACTTTATCTGAAATTGGATGATTGTCTGTCACATGCTGGTATGCCTACTTTTGTGATTATGTGTATGAAATTCGTCTTACAATGAATAGAGTAAAAATAGATTAGTTTCAAATATGAATATTTACCTTTTATATGAGAGAGATATATGTAAAGAAGTGTTAGTTAGCTAATTAATATTCCATTATTTATTTATTATCACTATTACTTATTCGTCATTTACAGATTTTATCTACATTGGAATTATTGGAGCAGCTGTATTAATTGTACTGGTTGTAATATCGTTGGTCTTAGGAATTGTTTTCTATCGGTGAGTAAATCATTTTGTATAGATTCATACATACATTTGCATTAGTCATCATATCTGTCTTCACAAAGCTTTCATATTGGTTTATTAGTCTTGACTATTCTTTTTGTTTTGCTTTTTCTCTTTTACTAATTTGTGTGCTAACGTATTTAAATTGATGTTAAAAAGAAACATCATTAGTAGTGTACAATCAAATTGTATTGATCAAATCGCCACTCTACGGATCATCATTGAACAAAGCTTGGAATGGCAGTCACCTCTCCACCTCAATCAACTTCATCGACTTTGAAAAGGCCTTCGACATCGTCGATCGATAGGTCATTTGGAAACTACTTCGCTATTACGGGGTCCCATCGACAATTATACATCTCATCCAACAGTTATACGACAATGCTGCATGACAAGTAATCCACAATGGGAAACTTACGGAAGCCTTCGAAGTGAGGACGGGAGTGAGGCAAGGCTGTCTACTATGACCAATGATCTTCCTGATTGCAATTGATTAGATAATGCGACAGACAACGGCAACCAACGAGGGAACAGGCATAAAATGGACTCACACAAAAGACTTGGAGGATCTGGACTTCGCCGATGATATATGTCTGATTTCCCATAAACTGGAAGATATGCAAGTGAAAAGTAACAAGTTGGCAGAAGAAGCATCCAGATAAGATAGGACTTCAGGTGAACATAGAAAAAACAGAGATGATGAAGATTCCTAGCCAACATCAACAGCAACAACAACAACAGACAACAATCAGCATAAGTGGGAAGAACCTGAAAGAAACAACCTCCTTCACCTTACCGACCTACCTGGGAAGCATCGTCTCAACTACAGGCGGAACTGACGAGGACATCAAAGCCAGAATCGGAAAAGCAAGACAAGCTTTCATTACTCTCAAATCTGTGTGGAGGTCAACAGCACTCATCATCAAAAATAAGATCCGGATTTTCAACTCTAATGTGAAGTCAGTGCTACTATACGGATCAGAGACTTGGCGAGTCATAAAGAGCATCTCAAACAAACTCCAAACCTTCATTAACAGCTGTTTTCGCTCAATACTCAAGATCAGATGGCCAGAAAAGATCAGCAACAGGGATCTCTGGGAGCGAACCAACCAGGAACCGATTGTGAAACAAATAGGCAGAAAGAAATGGAGATGGATTGGCTGGCCATACGCTGAGGAAACCATCAAGTGACATCACTAGACAAGCCATCGCTCGAGTGGAACCCGAAAGGGGGGCGGCGAGTTGGTCGTCAGTGCAAGGGTGACTTGGAGGGAGACATGTGAAGAGGAGATGAAAGCATGTAGCCAGAGTTGGAGTGGGGTGAAAAAGTTGGCAGAAAACCGAAGGCAATGGAGGTGCGCAGCTGAAGCCCTACGTTCCTCTAGGAACTAAAGGATACAATAAAAACAATAATAAATAATAATGATTTGTTATAAGAATAAATATTGAATTAATTGTGGAATTTACGCACACACACCTCCTAATCAGCATAACTGAACGAACATCGATTCAGACGGTTAAATTTAACATAACGCCATTGATGAGAAGTCAGCAAAATAAATGGAAGATTGGAGAATACTCAGAAGGGTATTTCTGTCATTCAGACACCCTGTAAACCTTACGGAACATGAGAACTATAATACAAATTAGGATATATCAAAGCTTATATTTTCAAATATGATTTAAAGAGGAAAACCGAAGAAAAGGTGGTTTCCCCGGAAACCATAGATAGATAAGTGGATAAAACATTAACACATATCCTAATTATACTACTTAACGTTGTAATATATCTCAACTCTTTCAGGTTTGATAGAAATCTGGGAAAAAGCAATTATTGTTTCATTGTCTATTGTTAAACAGTGCTTTGGAGTAGACCGACATTTCATATTTAACCCACCTAGTATCACAAGATTTTCATTCAATGCTTTCAAGGGACTTTTTCACCGAAGGGGTTTTATTATCATCATTTCAAGTGGTTAACTCATCATGAAATTAACGATTTTTTTTTCTTCACGTTCCCCAGCGAAACATAGGGCTTCAAGCTAGTGACTTGAAATTTCTGTAGCAGTGTTTATTTTTACGAGATGAGGTTGCTAGCCTCACGCCCAACCTTTCCTCTTTACCAGCATTATATTTGGCTTAACGAGGTAAAGGAGTGCGTCTGTGGCCGGGGATCGAACCCCGGACCATGTGGATGGTCGACGAGCGTCCTAACCGCTACGCCACCGATGCACCATGAAATTAAGAATACCAGTAGAGAATTTTCAATAATACTGAGAAGGAATGTAAAATAATTCTAATACCGTTGATGGAGGAAGAAAAATTTGATTATTGTTCATGTGAATGTGATCCCATAATAAACGTATTTACTTCATATATATATATATATATATATATATATATATATATATATGCACTTATTGCATTCGAAGACTAAATATATATTTTCTTGACTCACAAATACACTGTTTATTAAATAAAGCTGAATAAGTTCATGAAATATGTTGGTGTATTTGGATTACTCTCATATCTTTCTCCTCTTTCTCTTAACCTAGACGAGCTAAATTTCAAGCAGAGCTACGTGCTATGAATTGGATTATCCCATGGGATGCATTACAAGTAACAGAAAAACATTTAAGACGTTATCGTCGTGAAAGTGATATTCGTTCACCGAATCAATCATCTGATCCACTGAGAAAGATATCGTTTGATACATGCCCTACCGCCAATAAGCCTTTACTAGCAGGTGATGCATTAGCGAATGAAACTTTAGACCAAGATCTAACCGTAGAATTTTGTACAACAATTGATGAAGTCTCTCCAGAGAAACCACATCGTAAAATTTCATTTAGTAATCTTATAATGTCTGCTATTAATTCTACATCCAACAGTGGAGGTAATGCAAATGTACCAGGTGAAAAAAGACGAAGGAAAACATCAACTACTGGACGGTTTTTAGCTCGTTTCGCTCCAGATCCAATAACTTTACCACCAACAGTATTTGAAGAGCCCGGTTCGCATGCTGGTACATCACCACATCCTACAGGATATTCACAATCACAAATTAATGTTAGTAAACGTCAACATCGCTTATCTAGACGTAGTAAAACAAATGAAGAGAGTCAAACAACAGATGTTAATAGTCCAACTAACGGACAGAATAAAGGTATGCCAGAATGGACATATTTTAAGCATCCATCTTTTGATTATTCCTTTACCACTAAGCAAAATCGACATCGAAAGAAACATGATAGTGTTGGAATGGAAGTAAGCTATTGTTTTCTGATTTTATTATTATTATTTTATTTTATGTCTTTAAATACGTCAGATTAATAAGTTATATGAATAAATAAGGCAAATTTATCAAGTTGTACGTGTATAGAACTAGTATTAGTTGGTGATATAAATCATTAGTGAATTACAATAGTGCATCATCATAAGAGAATGTGTTCTGACATTAATAACAGTTTGGATCACAACACACTGAATAGCCTGTTTTTTTCTAAAAATTCTTAATAGTTAAATGCATTTTACATTATGAAAACTATATGTTGTGATGGGGAGCACACTAAGGCAATATGTTACAATCTGTTCTTCAAACTTTACAGGACTGGACTACATCGACGCCTAGTTTAAAAATAGGAAGTGAAGTGGTAGAGCACGTTGACCGCTTCCCTTATTTGGGAAGTACCATCAGCCCCAACAGGTTGATCTCTGACGAAATCTCAGCACGAATACAGGGGGCTCGTTTCGCATTTGCCAGTATACGCCGACTCTGGCGTAGACGAGATGTTCGACTATCGACCAAAGGGTGGGTGTACTGCTCATCAGTCCGCTCCGTCCTCCTTTATGGTTGTGAGACCTGGCCATTGAGAGTGGAAGACATGAAAAGCCTGACCAGCTGTCTTTGATCATAGGTGTCTGCGCTCTATTTCCCGTGTAAAGTGGCATAATAAGGTGAGCAACATTGAAGTTAGGCGTCGAGTTCTAGGTAAAAAGGGGAAATCAATCGACGAAGTTGTGAAGTTACAAAGACTGAGATGGTTAGGACATGTGTTACGTATGCCAAGTCATCGCCTCCTTCGACGAGCTATGTTAGCGGATATAGGGTCAGGCTGGAAAAAAGCTAGCGGCGGTCAAACAAAAACATGGCTTCACCAGTCAATGAAATCTACAACAGTTAGTCTAAGCCACGTAGGAAGGTGTAGACTTCCAGGCTGGGGTCCTCGGGACGGCAAAAATCTATGGTTGGAAACAATTGGTGACATGGCTCAAAATCGTTCTCAGTGGCGCAGATGTATCCACTCCTTGTGACTTATGACCTCCAATGAAACTGTTTTGTATTTTTTTATTACTCCTTTTTCTCACACCTCTGCTCACTGTTTCTATTATGCTTTTCTTGTACTTTCTTCTCTTGCTTCGCGTGCTACACGGAGTGTGGCGACTTGAACTTCCGCACATTTGTGCAAAGTTCTATGTCGAAAACAGACAGACAGTTCTTCAAACTATTGTAAAACAGATTGGAGATGGGATGAAACTGGACTTTATGGAAAAGCCAAGAGACCACAGATTATTTTACGATCTTGTCACATGGTATGACACAATAGAAGTCTTATCATTATAAGTTATCACATTGAGTTCTTTTACAAGTTAGAAATTAGCAGTGTTTTCCATTCTTCTTCTTCATATTTGTTTGTTCTGCGAAAACTAATCGTTGGCATTGAGTTTTACTTAAGACAGTGTTTCGGTTGAATAATTTTCCAAACTTTTCATCATCTGCTTAAACTTGAGTGATGAAACGCGGTGTGTTTGGTTAGGAATTTACAATTCATTTCTCGCGATACCTAATCGTATATTCACTACATTTCATTACATTCTGGAAGATAAATATAATGTTTTAAAACATACTACTAATAAATAGTGTGAGTAGCTGGAAACCAACAGTTTTGAACAAAATAAGGAGGATGAACTCTACGAGATAGAAAGAATTCCATTTTTATTTCAAGAATGTTTTCTTCACTGGCAATCTAGAATTACGAATACTTTCAATTAATAATATGCAGGTAAACGGTTTGCTCTAATTATTTGAAGTAAGAGGGAAGATTATTGTTCACAGGCCACTTATAAGTCACGAAAAATGAAGGGGAAGACAAAATGATCAGAAATTAGAGTTTGTTTACACGTAATATAATGACCATGGATAAATGGAGACTTGCATATCTCAATATTCCAGTAGGCTGCATTGTCTAGAACGATTACTGTTAAAGTGATTTACACTACTTTTGGAGGGAGTGAAGTCGTAGTTCTGGCGAGTTGAGATAAAACAGCTGCAAGCTATTTCTTCCAGGCGACCAACAAGCCAACAATACTGCTTCTTGTTCTGAAGAAAGAGGTTAGAAAATTGTACATCCTGACTTATTATGTGGCCGTCTATATCTGGCGGCAAGGTCATCGTACGGGCACACCTGAAAAAGTCACCCTAAACAGACCGTGTGTTATTGACCTCGAATAGCTATCACTCAAGCTCTATGGCCACACAACACTAGTGTTCTTTCTCCTCCGAGTGCTTTGAGTAGTGGTCAGTTCAGTTCAGTGAAGGTTCTGAAGTTCCCTCTTGCTAAAAGTAACTGAATTACGTCATTTATTTACATATTATTTGTAATAACTTGCATAATTTATGGCTATTAGAGCGATAAAGAATGCTTTGAAACAAAATGGGTTCATTTGTTTTCATACTTGCATTATACGTATATATATATATATATATATATATATATATATATATATATCGATTGGAAGAAATGTGTTAAAAGTACCATTTTCTTTAGTAATAATATATTTTCTTAGTCTGTGACCGCTGGAATGGAAAATAGCAATTAATGGTCTTCATTAAATGAATCTTAATAAGAGGATCTTGTTAGTAATAGCACAGTAGATATTGTTTGGTAGGCAGTGGCTAGCTGTGGGATTTATGATTGGCATTTTGTCTTATTTTGCTCCTAGCCTACATTTCAATAGAGACAGAGCACTTCGGTTCGATAAAACCAGTCGAGAAGAGATTTAAAAATAGTAATTTCAACAAATAACAACTAATACCTTATGTACAAGAAGTGGCTTCCTCATCTCAGTGTCCCAGGGTAGGATGCTTTGGCATTTAGGTTCGAATTGTTGTGAGCAAACCTTCACTTACTGTGACGCATGTACATTCAGTATCACAAATACGACGAAATATATTCTGGTTTCTTTTGCTAGACAATATTAAACCTAATAACACCGTGTTAACCTAAAGGAGTCATTGAAAAGTTCGTAACAGTAGCCAATATATCAACGGGGATAGGGCATTTTGGTCTGGCAAAATCTATCATCGGAAAATTTAAAAATAACAATTTCAGTAAATAATTCAACAGATAATTTACTAACTGACCGACAACAACCGAATCACTTTTGAATCATTTTTATTATTATAACTATTTCTGATATTTTGTTTTCTAATTTTAATGCATATTGTTTTTTTTATCCCGATAGTCTGACTACAATCCATTAATGGAATTCGACTTTTTCAAGAAAAAGAAGGTAACGTCCCCATTTATTGGTTTTGCTTTGATTATTAATTTAAATGCTTTATAAATATGAATATTGTCGTTATAACTATTACTAGTATTCGTCCTTTGCGTTTACAGTGGAACATGAAGCTTAAACAGCACATCTCTACTTGAATATGTTCTCTATCTCACTGATAGATGACTCCAGAAATGTCCGCAAGTTTAAATTACCTCTTCATTTGGTCATCTTCGTGTCATCCTTTCATCCATTCAAGTTTTACTCGGTGGCCTGGAATATAAAGTCACTTAAGGGTTTCTTCAGCGTGTATGCTAATCCGCTTCCATTTCCTTCCACATATTTTCGGGATAGTAAGTTCTTGGCTGGTTTGTAGCCTGTCAGAATTCCTTGTCGCTTATCGTTTCTGGACATGTGTTCAACATGAGCGAAGAAGACTTGACGAAATTTATTTATTTTTTTTCGATTACAGCTTGATTCCACACTGTATTTTTGGTACAAGTATGGAATTTTCAGCATGGATAACGATAGCCCAAATTTCGCCGGCCGACCATAGATATTAGGTGCGCGTCGGCAGGGGATCGAACCTCGAACCATGTGCATGGTCGGCGAGAGTCCTAACCACTGTACCACTGACGTACAAATTCTCCAGCCTGTTGGAAATGCTGTCACTGACAGGTGTCAAGTCTCTGAGCTATATAGAACCACTGACTGACCTAATATTAGTGTTTAAAATTGTATGTTACTCCTCGTGCTGCGAGTGCTATTAACCTCCACACTAACGGCAAAGTATTGAGCGCTTTTCCGATCATTGCTGTAGTTGTAACGATTCTGCCCAGGTGGTGAGAGAAAGAGACGACTTTCTTTAGATTTCTGCTGTTGATGTTGATTGGTGTTTCTGGTTGTTAACCAAGTATCTTCATAATCTCTGTCTTCTTCGTGTTTACATGAAGTCTATTCTTGTTTGCCTCCTCTGTCAACTTGCTAGTTTCTGCCTGGATATTTTTGAGTTTGTGAGACATTAAACATAAATCAATCACGAAATCCAGATGTTTTACTGTCATTTTGTCGGTCCACTGTATGCCAGTGTTCTCATTCGCCACCACAAACGGAAAAGTCATGTCTGATACAACGGAAGCCTTGTTTTACATTTCGGTAAGCTTTCAGGTATGTTACTTATCATTATTCAAACTGTTGAGTCAGTGAAGTGAATGGAGGAACTACATATCTTGTATGATCTTGCAACGACATACACACATACGTAAAACTCCACATGAACATATTCGTCCCAAGGATTTTATGCATATTTCATTGAAATGAAATATTCTTAGAAGAGATTATCTTCGGAGTGAAGTCTATCACGAATAAATTAGTTAAAATTACCAATAATTATATTTTATACGACTATGTTTCCAGTTGAAAAATATGTTAAAATTTATTAGCTATCTTTCTGGTTATTTGTTTATTTCATTTAGTGTAACGATAGTCATTGAATGGCTTAGTTGGATCACTTCGTTTTGTAATTTTTTTCTCTAGTTGTATTATGATATAGTAACATAATACCTATCAATGTGTATAAACACTGGATAGCTAGCTACCGAGGCTACCCTAATAATAATAATAATAACAAAAACTGCAACCACGTGTCTAGTAACACTTGGATTCATTTATTATATTTGCTTACATTATCCAAACTAGTAATAATGATACCTGTTGTATGACATCACTTGTATTTCACTGTTAACAACAATGAATTCCATTACACCTATGATAAATGAAATTGATTATATTCGTTTACTTTGTTCCTGTGAAGTAAACAATTCCTGAAATTTAGAATACATTAAAGCATAAAGAGTAAACTAGTGTTTGAGATGTGTGTTCTTGTTCAGTACGTATAAGATAAATCAATAACTTAATTCTAGCGATAATATATTCTAAGTCGAATCACACACGACAGTCGAAAGGCGACTTATCATGAATGAATGTGTACATATGTGTCTATTCCTACATCGCTGTTTTTCTTCCTGTAAGAAAGTGTAATCCTCAGAAAGAAGATGCAAGACTTTTCATGGTTCAATATACTTTATGAATTTACAGTGTCAATTAACAATGCAATAATACTGGAGGAATCAGATAGGGAGTAAAGTGGTTGATTGTGTTAACCACTTCATAACTGGATGTCTGATTGTTGACGAAATCTCAGCACGGATACAAAAAGGCTCATGTGGTAATTTCCAGCTTCATCTCTGGCGCAGTCGTGTGTACTGTGCAGCAGCCCTCTGTTTCCCTCTCTACGGCTGTGAGACATGGACACTGAAAGTGGAAGATATGAAAAGGCTGTCTCTGACCGTAGATATTTGCGTTCTATCTTCAGTGTTAACTGGTATAATTTGGTGAGTAATACTGAGGTTAGGCCTAGAGTATTAGGTACGAAGGTAAGCCGGTTGATGAGGTTGTGAAGCTGATTTGATTTAAATGACTAGGACATGTGTTACACATGGCAAGTCATCGTCTGCCTCGTCAAGTAATGTTAACTGAAATAGGATTAGGTTAGAGAAGAGTAATGGATGGCCAAAACAATTATAGTATAAATCCATAAAGTCTTTGACTGTTGGTTTGAGTGAGCCACGTAGGGAGGTGTAGACTGTCTACCTGAGTTCCTCTAGGCGCTAAGAACCAATGTCTGAAAGCAGTTGGTGATATGACTCAAACTTGGATTCAATGATGCATGTACATTCATTCATTGTAATCTCAATTCATTTAAGTCGTTGTGTTTCTCCGTGTAATTATTTTATCTTCCGTACATTTATGTTTATTACAGTTATTTTGAATTTTTCTTCTCTACCTTTGTGCTCTATATGAAGGGTAGCAATTTGAACTGTTTCACTTCTATGCTGATTTCTAAGTTAAAACTCAGTCATTCAAGGAATGAATAATCATAATATCAGATTTAGTTATCTTCTGGTACTGTTCTTTTTTAAGCTGCATTAGCATTATGTCTTAGCAATCTTATATCACTTTATTATCTTATAAAATGTTCACCACAGATTATTAGACTAATATCTAATATCTGCACTATTTACACTTTTTTAGTGTTTTAACGTAGTTTTGTTTAATTATCATGCACACAACATGTGTACGTATATATTACATACATGCATAGAAGTGTATGCGTTCAACTGATTTACAAAGTGATATTCAAAATTTTTATTTCAACATCTCTGATATATATATATACTTGTGGTTACTTAGATAGTTCACTGTCCAGTTCATACATTAAGTAACTCCATTATATTCATATTATATTGTATAATTGGTAGTTACATTTAATCATCACCTATTACACCAATTAATAATAAGAGTTTCTGTTCATTCTATTTCACAGGTTCTCATCAGCTGCAAACTACCTGAAAATACAATGGTTATAAATAATAACATTTCATACTTCGTTGTTTGAAAGGTAATAGAGAGAACATTATAAGGTGAACGCATCATCAATTTATATACTGTCAAACTATGAAAAAAGAAAAAAGGGGGTTGAGAGAAGACGAAAAACAGAAAAAATCTAGTAAACAGTGTCGACATGGCAACTCACGGATTACACTGATTAGTTATACACACTAGTGAGCTCAACTCACTAAGCAAGTTTTCAAATTGATGAACTTTGACCTTCTTGAGTTGCCATGTCGACACTGTTTACTAGATTTTTTCTGTTTTTCGTCTTCTCTCAACCCCCTTTTTTCTTTTTTCATAGTTTGACAGTATATAAATTGATGATGCGTTCACCTTATAATGTTCTCTCTATTACCTTTCAAACAACGAAGTATGAAATGTTATTATTTATAACCATTGTATTTTCAGGTAGTTTGCAGCTGATGAGAACCTGTGAAATAGAATGAACAGAAACTCTTATTATTAATTGGTGTAATAGGTGATGATTAAATGTATAATAAAGATATAGTGCAGAGATCTAGAAATTAAACTAAGAGACCTAACTATGAACAGCTCATTTCACCAAAATCAATATGGATACTGAATGCCTTACTGAATAAATGGCACGTTATTACCTGTACATCACCACACGATAACTGCAAGTCTACGTCTCCTTTTGTCAACTGAATTAGTAGGATAGGGATACATGGTGAACTGACAGTAGAACTATTAGTGATGATTGAAGGTGTATTGAATTCTGCCGCTACGAAGGTTTTTAATGCAAGACTATTTCATCATCAGTTTATCATGATTTATTTCGCCAGAATTAACCATGTAGGCATTTTGTTATTTCAAGTTTGATCACAAGCTGATATCAGTCAGAAAACCATTGGAAAATCATGTCCTAGTTTGGGACTCTTCGGCAAGCAACTGTTTGTCCGATCCATTAACTAGTAAAAGTTGGAATTCATGAGCCACTGGATTGGATCCCGCTAGCTTAATGGTTTACAAGCTTGCCTTGTAACCAGATGGTAAATGTGCACTACTGAACATACAACTGTCCAATACACCCTAGTTTCCCATTAGTCCTCTAATTGATGTCAGCTTGCGATGAAATTTGAAACAAATTAAATACCTACGAACTAACTTTTGAAAATTTCGTCATTTGTTTATTTGTTTGTTTTTTCCTGATTGTAAACTTTTATGTGAGATTCTAATGTTACCCTAAACGTCACCTAATTTTAAAAAACAACACTTTAAAAGATTTATGAAACTAATGCGAAATGTTAAATATTACTTGGAAAGTATGCAGACAAAAATAACTTTACCTTTGTCTTAAACATTAGTATAGTATTAAAATTTGTTGTTATTGGGATTTGTCAACCGCTGCTGAATCACATATCAGTGCATAACTTACATTTTCATTTCACTTTCAACTGTTTTCCTGATGGATGAATATACGAAGGGAGGGACATCAGTTCTCTTGCAGTTACAGTCACCATGCAGTTACTGGTGACTGGTGGGAGATAAAGAGACTTAGTCAAAGCATGACATTTTATCTAGTAGATCAGTGGTAACTTCTC